CAATTTTAATAACACGACGAGAAAGCTCGTCGAACTCGTTTTAATCGAACAAATTAAATATTGTGTTCGATGAATCTTTTAGATGGGTAAATCTTGTTTGTGTCAATTTGTTTTTCTTTTCTTTTCTTTTTACGAATCACCCGTTAGATATGAAATAAGAAGATGAGAAGGTAGGTACGGAGACGTGCCTGCCGGGTTCTCAAGTAGGAATCACTCCAATAATGGTCCTTTAACGGAAATATAAAAAGCGCGATATAGCGGTAAAAGAGAAAAAGAAAGTCGTGAGAAATGGTCTGAGAGAAAGATTAATATCGATTCGACGAGTTAATGCCGGAGGGAAATTCCATTCCGACGTGGGGACATCAAAGTATATATATATATACGAAAAAGAGATGGGGAAAGAAGAACCTCTCTCTCTCTTTATCTTTCTTCCAAGTTCTTTTTTCCTAGAAAATTACGCAAATCAAAAAAATAAAATAAAATAAACGAAACGGAGTTTTAAAGTCAAAGTTTGAATAGAAGGAGAAAGCACATATTTAAAGTGAATTACTTTTTCTACCTTTTTGTCATCTTATTTTTTATTTTTACTCGTTAGTGGAAAAACCATCAGTAGTTATAAAGATTATAGTCATTTTCAAGTTCATTTTATTTTTTTATTCGGTTCGTTTTTTATTTCAAAATTGTATAATAGTTTTGATATACAATATATTATGTGTATCATATTATTAAATTCTAATTATTTTGTTCTTAAAGATAAACTAGAGATAAAATGAAATATTTAATTGTAAACAGAGAAGACATTATAAACGCTATTCATTTACATGCATCATACATACACACACATATGATTCTGATTTTAAAATGCCGATGAAAAGAACATTATGCGAAAGTGTTAACGCGACAAAATACTACAAAGAAAGAAATAATGATAGGGCATACATTTTTACTAGAATAGAAGACTTGAAAAAGAAGAAGAAAGAAAAAAAAAGAAAGTAGAAAGAAAGTATATAAGAAGAAAAGCAACAACAACGTGTGTGTGTATCCTTATTCTTCAGTGTTGGTCTAGTCTTAGTTTTTACCTAAGGATCTCCTCTCACGTTTTCATTAGAAGTCTTTCTCTCGTTTCTACTTTCTTCTCTTTCTTTGTATCGACCTTTCATTCCCTATGATGTGCTTGCTATACTTTACTTCTTTTCTTTCCTATTATACTTTACTTCTTCTTCTTCTTCTACTTCTTCTTCTTCTTCTTCTATTAAAACAAAGAATGGTACAAACGTCGGACTAGAAGACCGAATCTCTTTACAACTTTTTCTGCGATACTTGAAAAACTGAACTATTCAAAGAGACATACTGCAAAAAAAAGAAAAATAGTTAAGAGATGAGAAAGAAAAGATGAAGGTGGGATGAGGGATAAGAAAGAAAATAATAGAAAGATTAGAAAAACGTGAATCAAAAACATATCAACTTTGATAACACTAGATGATGATTATTATTGGCATTAGGAACTCGAAAGTTCATTGGCGCAAATACGCAAATCCCTCCAGTGTTCTCGTCCCTGAGCTTGACCCTGTCCATTCGCGGTCTTCATAGCCCATTTCTTTAAGATCCCGAAATAATATTGTCCTCCCATCTACGTCTCGGTCTACCTAGTGGTCTTTTCCCGTTTGGTATACCGACCAATATTTTATGCACTGTTCGATCCACCCCCATGCGCGCCACGTTACTTGCTTATCTAAATCGACGTGATTTTACGACGTTAATGATGTCCGGTTTGTTGTACAGTCGGTGTACTTCTACTGTGGAGTTTTCTTCATTCACCCGTTTCTTCATCGCGTTTTGCACCGAACATTTTACGAACAACTTTATTTTCGAAAACTCTCAATTTCTTTTCGTTCCGTAACACAAGCGACCACGTTTTACTACCATAAAGGACTACCGGTAGGATAATTGTCGTGTATATCCTGATTTTGAAGCACCTAGACAGCAACCGCGAGCTGAGTAATTTATTGACCGAATAAAGTTTATTTAGAAAAAACTATATAACGATTTTCTTTATTATCCTTAGATGCTCGTATGCGAATGCAATTCTGCAAAAAAAAAAAAGAAACTAGCTATGCTATTTTATCTCTAACATTTCTTTCGAGTATACCTTGAAGTATAGTAGTATTGCATTTTCTCTTTTTTTCTTTCATTCTTTCTTTCTTTCATTCTTTCTTTTAGGTTTCTAACGAGAAACAGTTTTAACGATATTCAAACACAAACTTCCCCTTCCAAGAGTATGTGAGGAGAAAGATAGTCTAAGTTAAAACTTAGAAGTGAGACAGATTGTCGACATAGAAAGGTAGAAATATCTCTGGTGCCAATCTGCGCTTAAATTGTCAGTTGTAAACTCTTAACGCGAGTTGCTGCTGATCAAATTATTCATACAGAAAAGATAAAGCACAGCTGCATGCACCCATACCCTTAACTGTTTCTTAAGCTTTTAGATAGTACTACGCGTAATTGTTTATTTCTAGAAACACAACACAACAATAACAAAAAAAGAAAACACACAAAGAGACTTTTTTATCGTTGCAAGTAAAAAATGTTTCAAATAAAATTATCATTTTTACTAATTTTATAAATTATTACAATCGATTTCAAATGTCATTTAAATAAAAATAGAAGAACAGCAATAACATTTAAAAATGTATTACGTACATTACATAATAAAATGTATATCCAAAACGATACGAAATATTTGACCGATTGCCTAGCATAAAATCACCATTTCATGATGTGTGGGTGGATGAAAGGGTGTTGGGAGTTGATGTGTGTGTCTTCTAGCATATTTCTTCAAAACTATTTTTCCTAACACAGATTTCTCGATCTGGCAATAACTCCGAAACGTTTTCTACTTTAGCCTAAAGGGCCAACGATACTACTTTTATCGTCTTCGCGCATGCTGCGTTTTCTCTCAGGAAAATAAGTTGAAAAAAAACGTGAACGAATTTTAGTGAACGTAACGCAGAGAGGAAGGGTCGAGACTGAAGAAAAGGAAGGAAGAAGAGTAGGAGTTGGAGGAGGAGGATAAGGGGGGTAGAGGTAATCCCTATTGTTTCTTCTGTCCCATAAATCCTGCTAGCTGCGGCATCTTTCTTTCTCTTCTTCTCTCATCTTCTTTCCCTATCCCTTTTTCTCTCAATGGTTTTCCATCTCCCTTTTTACGTGCTGCTCACTCGCTAGTTCTCTTCAAGTCCAGGCCACGCTTCAGCCTCCCGACAACACACATCCTCTATCCAGTCGTTGCTGTAACCTTTTTCCTCTTCCTCATACTCCCTCCTCTTCCTTCCCTTCTTCAGCGACCACTCTTTTCTACAGGAGATTCAGGAAAGCATTGTCTTTCTCGGCAGCACGCTTCGTAAATCTCGGACCAGCTGTGTTTTACGACACATATGTAGTTCCCGTAAAGACAGAAGCCGAGCAACGATCCTCTCAGAGATTTCGAAACAAGGCGTGTGTTTGTTTGCCTTTCTGTAAAAATCATTCCACCGAGATCAATCTCACCTTGAGGGTTAGGTCGGTAGTCGCAGCATCCTCTTTTCTTAGTCACGTTACGTCACGAACAATATCCAAGAAAAATATTCCTACGACATGCATTTTGTTTCCAAATTGCATTGTTTTTAACAAACGTTTAGCTCCTATGATTTGTCAAAAATATGCTGAAAATGTATAAAATGTATATCATTCATTTTTTTAAACCAAATAAGTTGAGTATACCAACCTTTATTGCAGATTTTGAATTGTTAAGCTTGGAATATTTCAGATAAATTATTTTTATATCTTCTGATACAGTCAGTAAGTAAAAAACAGTTGTTTCAGACGATAGAAATTTTATATTACCTTTTTCGAAGACAAACCATTTTGTTACATCCTCTTATAAAAAAGTAAATTTTGAACTCGCAAGTTTGGAACATGGAATTCATTCCCAAACGGAAATCTGTAAAAACTGAATCTATAATATATATTTTATCTCAATTGTGACACACTTTTTATGATTACACTAAAATCAAGACGAATACTAAAGTTGACTCTACCAGCCAATCATTTTCTCTCTCTCTCTCTCTCTCTCTCTCTTTTATTATCGTAAGAAAATTAAATAGAAAGAAAGAAAAAGACAATAGAAAAATATAAAAGATAATCCGTAATATTACGAGTATAACAAAATAACTTCAAAAACTTCCATCCTCGGTGTAAAAATACTACAAATAGGCGAGAGTGTGTGCATCGATGCATATTTGCTTAGCCGTTTCCACAGGAGTGCTGAAATAAAAAAGAAACGAAATAAAACAAATACAATGTTTTAAAAAGGTACAGAGTTCCTGTCTAGTGCAGTACCGTAAGAAGATGACAGATAAAGATCTCAGAATTTGTTCGAAGATTTTAGATTTATCTGGGTTCCTACACATATGTGACAGTGCTGGTGATGGTGATGGTTAGGAGTTTATCAAAATTGCATTTACGTTCCGTAAAGTGTTAAAATAACGTTTACAATTCTCCAGAGAGTATTTTCATTCGCATTTATACTGTATATGTGTTTCACACCAGTGGTCGATGTTTACGATTTTTGTGGCTTCCAAAAAGGGTAGCTCAGACCCCCTAATGTGGGGAAAAAGGGTTGCTTTCCTAATGCCAAATCCAAACAGACGACCCTAACCAACGTCGACCCTCTTAATTTACGGTCCGCAACCTAGACCGAAGTAGGTATCTTATTTCTCTATCAGCCCTTCATCGGCGGCGACTTTTGCTACTTCGTGCGACTTCATCCTCGATTTTAAGCTTCGTCTATGTTTCTAGCTGATAGAAAAAAAGAAGTAATTATTGATTGGATCATTGTTTATTTAATTGGATTAAGACTCACGATTGTAACACGTAAATTAATAAATGTTATTTTTTTACAGCAAACACAAAGTACATTTGTGAACTGTATTCTGATCGAAACAATTTCGTTTGAATTTCAGATCGAAGACGCGATGCTCATGTTCGACAAGCAAACCAACAGGCACAGAGGTGAGTGAATTTTTGTCCTTTCTACTCGTAGGCAATCGAAATTGATGCGACGTGTGAATACAGAACGAAAATGGAACGCTTTAGAGACGCGAATGTTCAAAACACGAATGGAAAATACCTATATATATATACATAGTATACTTTATGCACAGATATATATAACGTTGCGACTTGAGAAAATATGACGAAAATGCATAGAGAGCTTTCTCTGTACCTGTTTAGCGAATCAACAATGCCAGCATTTCGCTAGCAAACATCAAGCCTGGTAATTAACAGCCGGGGCTGAAACTGTAATTACTAATTACGGTAATTCGCGAATGTCAGTGCGCTGTCGGTGTAGCCAAAGACAAATAACATTAATTCGACGGGATATTCGATCGTTTCGTTTGTCATGATATGGATGCAAATGATTCGAAAATTGATAATATATTGGATGCCATCTTGCATATTTGATTGGGTAAAATTTGCGAAGCAGGTGGGTGAGAAAGTGTTGGGTGTATGATGAGAGCTGTGTGGGTGTGTGAATCGCAACGTTAATCGGAGAAAGAGAAAAAAAAAATTCGATTTCTCCAACGTTTGCGTGGTATTCTCGCAAATCGAATATAAAAAGGGTTTTTCTCATGTTGGCATGAAAATATACTGCTCACGTTATCAACTGATGACTTCGCCTCCTGGGACCCGTAAATTTTGAAGAAAAAAAACGTCTTTGCGATCGTTCCAATCATGTTCTTCTTCTCGTACCGAGCAAAAAGGCATTTGTTTGAAAAAAAAACCATCTCTTTTACATAAAATGGAATAAACTATGTGTATGTGTGTTTTTTTTTTTTTATAGAATCAAATAGCATATCTAGAAGAGAAAAATTGATCGTAAAAGTGAACATTCACATTGGTAAGATGAAAGACAACGTATAAAGGACAAAGAAATAAAGAATAATATTGAGTGTCTTTTCCTTCTCGATTGTTAAAGTGTCATATAACCGAGTGAAAATTGACTGAGAAGATTCGAATGATTGAAAAAGAGAGAGAGGGAGTCTATGATAAATGAAATATCTAACAAAAAGGAGGGTGTAAAAATAGGCCAACGTAATTTTCAGTAGTACTCGCTTGCACGAGGTTTGGAAGAAGATGGAAGGGGATGAAAATAAGAGACAGGGGGGTTTTCGACCAAAGGCAAAGAAGAAGCTCCGACTGATTCTCTGTTCTGAATTCATTTACGTCGGAACTTCAATGGGAGTCGATAATCGTTGGTGATCGAGGCAGCCGACCCTTTCGATAATCGGGAATACTCTCTCTCTCTCTTTCTCTTTTTTCTCTCTTGATCTTTTTTATCGGTATCCGGTGCACTTTCTTATTCGCTATCTTGCTCACTCTTTCTTTAACCCATCTTCTTCGTCTACTATCGTCGTTGGCAAATGCCTGGCGGCGGCTCTCGGTGATAGATTCTAATATCGCTTATGAAAAATAGGGCCAAATGGGATATGAAAGCTGGCTCCCTTCAATGTGATGGGGATTCGACTTGCCTGGAAAAAAAGGAGGGAAGAGGTTGAGTATGATAGAGCGCCGGTGGTTTGGGGGAAAATCGTGATCTATAAACGGAGTAGTAGGATGGAACGAATAAGAAAGTGGTGTGGAATAAGGGTGGGAGGAGAGGGTGGGAGTGCGGTATGCCGCACATCGTAACGAATGGAAAACGACAAGGAGGATAATACGTGAAGTGCGACGAGACTGGTGAGAGGAGGTAGAATGAACGAGAAAAAGCTAGAGAGTGAGGTAAAACGAGGGTGGAAGAGAGAAGGGTAGTCTGCTATAGTGCTGCTCGTTGAGCCAGCTCGAGGGTGTGGGCACGAAAAGGAAAAAGATAGGGGAAAAGAGGTAGAAGCTTCTTTCAAACCGGCACGTAATCTCTCTCGCGATGACATCCAATACCAGTTCTATCTGGTGCGAGACTGTGAACCTCGAACTCGAGCTGCTCTCTTACATACACATACACATACACCAATACTTTTAGATTTCAAAATATGGTACTTTTGTATCTAACCCCTGACCCTTGAGAGGGTAGTAGTTTCGGAGTTCTTACCGGTTGCGCGTTAGGTGAGAAACTTGAAACAAAATAAACTGAGAATCGAACGGACGTGCTTTATCATTCTGGCCAGTTATTACATTCATATTGTCATTGAATCGTGGTCACGCTTTCAGCTCGGTACGATCAGTTCTATACGAACGGCCGGATATCGAGGATAAATCTGGAACGTGCACCCCATGAACTTTGCAATCTAAATTTCAATTATTCGTGAGCTATGCTAGCCCGTTCCCTCGTTTCTACTATCGAGAAATTCACTTGGCAATGCGAACGGATCACCGAATAAACGGGAACCATTTGACCAACAGAGTTTGCATTGTCGTCTCGTTTTCGATGACGACACACCGGTTTGATCTAATCGCGCATAAAATATGCGTAAGAAAACAAGAAGTTTCGTTCTTTTATTCCAACTTATTATCGTAATTAGATAATATCGTAATACGAGATAAAAATAATTATTGAGTATATAAAAGATTACAGTTTATAGCTTACAGAGCTGTTGACATGTTATCGATCGTAAAATCGATCGTAAAAAAAAAGAAAAATAGTATTCATCCGAGTTAACATACGTTTCTACGATTAAACTCTCGAATGAAAATCAAATTAATGCTATTCACGTGTGTATCAAACAGTTTATTCGTATCAATAGCCAACACAAGTATTTAAAACTTGAATTCATTTGAAAACCTTAACGCTTTAGATTCACGAATAAATCGTAAAATGTATTAGTTACACATGTGTGAAAAAAATAATGAAAAAGAAATATATATACATAGAAAAGAAATAAATAGACACATTGAAATTACAAAAATAAAGATCTTCTATCTTTCGTGAGTTTCTCTCTTTATGCCCGAAATCCCTGAAGGTAAGGATAGTCTCTACACAGTGTAGCAAATCACTGATAGAAGGATGAGGAACCCCTCGAGGAGGAGTTCTACCAAGCAAGGACATTCCGCGAAGCGTTTCTGGACAATTTCGAGTCCTGATGGTTTCCGTAGCGAGCTATGATTTCCACGTGGATAGGCAAACTGCAATTGCACCAAAGCGAATCTTCTTCTCTCCCATTCCATCCATCCATCCCTCTTTTATACTCTCTCTATCTCTCTCTATCTCTTCTTATCCCTCTTTCTCTCTCACAGACACACATAGAAGAGGAGGGTATACGTCGAAGTGCGATTATCCAAGCTTCGCTGGCCAAAGGATTTTCTCTTCGTGAGCTCCGCTCTCTTACTAGCCGAAGTAGTAGGAGGAACGAACCCGATTGCAAGTAGGAGAGTACCTCGAAGAGAACGCTTCGTGAATTTGCTTCTCTCTCTCTCTCTCTCTCTCTCTCTCTTATATATCCTCGCTCACGAGCGAACGATCTTACGGTTGAACATACACGCTCGATCTCGCGCGCGCTCACCTATCTTCAACGAACACTTACGTATGTACATACACTAACGTGAAAGATCGTAGATATACATATATATGTATGTATAAATCTATATAGGGATAGGAAGGTTCGTGTAGTCATAAATGGTTGTAAAGGAAAGAGGAACATAGTCTGAGTAGAAACAGTGTATGTTCTTACGTGTTCGTAAGATGAGACGGCATTTTGGAGCAGCAGCAGCAACAACAGCAGCAGCAGCAACTAGAGGAGCCAGTGACCGATGATCAAAAAGGGGCTGCCTTTGCGTCTTACGGAAGAAGAAGCATCCTCGACTAAACACACGTGCTTGTCGAAGCAACTTCCAATTTTGGATCGTTTATTGCATTGCTTTCTCCTCCCAACGATCGTTCGCTTTGCCGTCGGATAATCCGTATTTTCCTTTCTTTGGGAGAAAGATTAAAAAAAAAGGAAAAATAATCGAAATAAAATCAATGGACCGTCTTTTGTCGATAGAAGAAACCTCGTTGCATTATCTTTTTACTTTGTTCGTTGCCGAAATTCCAAAGAATCTTTTAGATATAAAATAATCGGTCAGCTAACGCATTAAAGCTAACTTTACCAAAGTATACAACACGTAGATGTTGTTCGGAATCCGAGATCATCGAAGGAATAGGAGAATTTGGATAGAGAAAGAGAGAGAGAGAGAAGTCTTCGGGACTGGAGAAACTTCCTTCCTATTCCGAAGCGGCAAAGCAACGTCGTCGTCGGTGGATGCGTTATGCCAGTTTCACGTAATCCAGGTTGGTCGAGTGTGTAAAGCGGTCGGAGAACTCTAACTGAAGAGAGACAGAGATAGAGATAGAGATAGAGAGAGGTTTGGTTGGTAGTAGTAGCACTCTAACGTCTTTCGCGAAGGCAGGTCGGAAACTCCGTGCTTCAGGGTCGAGCCAACAACTCGCATGGCGCGTGGTAAACCGTACCATCCAACTTCGGCACGTATGCGGCACGCTTCCATGCCCATTGCTCTCCGCACGGAATAGTTATCGGACCAGACAAACTTCCTCAAAACCGGTTCGAAATAGTTTTGGTGGTGGTGCCGCTTCTATAACGGCGTCGTCCTTACGCTTAGTAACGGGAGCTTTCCTTGTTTTCCTTCATCCTCCGTTTTCCATACCACCCACCACCCATTTACGCGTGTGACTCTACTTTCGTCAGGCTTAACGTATCCTCCCTTCTCCATCTTCTATGTAGTACAAGTTCAAAGATCATTCTGCCACGAAAAGCTTTGAATCAACCCTTCCGTTTCTAACAGTATGATGATCACTGATCTGGAAAGTCGAGATTTGAATCCACTGAATTTTATCCGCTGACATTTTTCTCTTTCTCTGATATTGTTTTATTCTTTGACGTTACTGATCGAGATTCTATTCGATTCGTGAATAATTTTAGAATTTATATTTTATTATCGATCGATCGTTTAAAACAACGTTCTTTCGCAAAATAAATTCTTTGTAGGTTTGGGGAAAAATGGTTTCCTTACGTCAGCAA